TTCGTCCCGTGTAACAAAAACTAACAACCAATCAAAATTCGAAAACTTAGTCATGTGCGTAATATATCACGTGCAACTGACTTATCGCGACTAATTTAATTATACTCGGACTAGGTGACTGACCGACTTAGCTCTTATCGCGACTTTATATAGTTTGACCGACTTATCGAATTTTTTTAAATAGTAAAAAAAAGGGGCGGAAAATTTTGGCCGAGTTAGGCCAAAACCGACTTATCGCGTGACTGACTTATCGAGTTTATATATGTGTACACTAGAAATTAATTTTGTTATTTTTATTGTAACACACAAAAAATCTACCAATTGAATTGTTTTTTTGTTTATATAAAAAAAAAAATATATTTTTTTCACTAATCTCAATGAGCGATTTTGAACACTATCCTGGTTTTAATGGTAAGTTCTATGAGTAATAGTTTATCCTACATCCTCTTTTCAGTTTCTAATCTATCTTTCAGCTCTTATTTCCTATTTGAAGGAAGAGAACAAAGAATTTTGGTCCTACCGTGAGTTTTTGTTTCTTCACCATGATGATATCATACTTTCAGTAACTCCAGAAGCTCAATGGCATGGAATGGGCAGTGCGTGGGCTCATCGGTTTTTGAAAAATTCTGAAACACTTTTAAATAGTGTAAAAGCTGATGATCCAAATTTTAATGCCTCAGCCAATTTTGAAACTTTGAAAATGAAGGTACATTTATTTATTTATTTATCAATATATTTAGCGATAGGGTGATCCAAGATCAGTCAACGTCTGATTCTGGAGTATTCACAGTCAAAGTCTGTGCCCAAGTGATGGTTGAGGCATGCCCAATTAGTCAACGTCTAGTTCAGGTGCATTCAGTCAACGTCTGAAGCCTCATCATTGCGACCGCTTTTTCCTAATTCCTTTTTCATTATTTGTTCCACAACAGGTAAAATCTGAGCGCAACAACAAAAATTTGAAAGATTATTGGGAAGATATTATTGCTAAATGGAAAGAGACAAATCAATCCTCAAATACCTCTTTACTGGTCTGTAGTTAACTTTTTCTGAGGGTTCATTTTTTGCACCTTCACATCAGATAAAAAATTCATTCATATAACATACTTATTTTGCTTCTGTTAAAAAAACATCAATTTATGTATATACAAAGCATAAACATGTAAAACGTCATATCATGCCATTTAATTATAGGGAAGCAACATTGGTGCTCAACATGGAGAAATTTCAATATTTCCCTGTTAATGCTATAAGTGATTTTTACCAGATTCGCGTTGAACCTGAGTATGCTTATTTTGATCGCACAAATTATATATCAGTGCTTGAATCCTTTGGAGAAAAAGTGTTACTCTTTCTGCGACCACATCGATTTGGAAAATCACTGACTCTTAGTATGCTAGCTCATTTCCATGGAATAGAACATAAGAAACGTTATTATGAACTCTTTCAGGTATGGCGTGATGCCACTTCTTTTCTTGCACACTTATTTGTCAACTTATCCTATCTTTCTCCTTGTAGGATCTTGATGTTGACAAAGATGTCCAGAAGGGTAAAGTCATTCCTGGGCAGTATCTTATTTTATCCTTAGATTTTGCTGGAATCAACCGTTCAAATGACCTTAAAATTGCTGAAGCTGCACTTCATGATATGATTAATGATTCCATTGAACAATTCTACAGAACATATGCATCCTATCTGGAAAGGCCATATGATAACCTCCAGAAACTCATTAAACAGGATAATAGCATTTCTAGCATTTCTAAATGCATTAGTATAGTCCAAGATAAACTTCGAACTGTAGAGGAAGAGGGAGATAGCAAGCATCTACTTGCTAATGTGAAAGGAGTAAGTATACTAGATTGTTTGATTGCACTTATTGCACTTATTGCTAATGCTAAAGTTTTTTTACTTACAGATCTATCTTTTGGCTGATGAGTATGATGCATTTAGCAATGAATACCTTGATCCAGAAGACCATAGTGCATGGATTGCTCTCTCTGAAAATAAACAATCATTGCTTAAGGGTTTCTGGGCTCGTGTATGGGATATCAACGCATTAGTAAATGTTTTATCACAGGTATTACACCACTTTCAATGACTGATCATACTAGTGGATTCAACGTTGCAACCAATGTCTCTTTTGCAAAAGAACTTGCAGGGCTTTGTGGTCTCAGTCATGAAGATGTATGTGCTGCTCTGCAGCTGCCTTTTATGCATTTAAGTAGCATAGAAATCCAAAAACTTTTTGACATTATGAAACGTCATTATAATGGCTATGGTGCAAGTCACCTAGTCCCGCAACTTGCTGCGCCTCGGTGGCCAATTTTGGGAAAAATCTTCAAAACTCAGAATTGTAAGTTGTGCTCAAAAATGCAATAAAATTTTATGTCACGTGACCTTTAATGGTGATACAAATTAAAAAAAATATTTATATATTAATATATATATAATGTTATAACATTGCTAAAAAAAAAATTTCCTTCATGTGAAGAAGCCAATGCTCCTGCGGAGAGCATTCTTTGAGAGCTTTGCCCTCAAAGAATTTTTGGACACCATACATTTTTCATATTAAAAAGATTAATTGTCATCTCTCATCTTTCCTTTTTTCTGATATAACTAGTGTATTATTGTTACATGCTTATACTATCTATCTAATTATCTAATAAATAATATGTACATATCTTTATTCACATTGTAAAAATCAAATCACAGATACCATTTGGCACTACTTGCTCAACCATTGCAATTTTTTGGTCTATTTATATGTTTCTGTAGTAATTTATTAGACTACTCAATCAATGCACTATTTGGCCACAAAATAGACTATTTTATGAAAAATTACATCATTGTGCAAAAGGATGCTTGGATATTTCGCATCCAACTATTCAAAAGAATAATTCATATTTTTGTGACTGCCAAATTTAGAAATGATTTTTACAGGCTAGTCTAAATTTAGTAACGATATTAGCGGCCAATTTCATCATGAACATTGTAAACTTGTGCAACTTTGAGCCCTTCTAACTGCGCAATGCTGTGACATATCAACAAAATGAAATCGTAACTTTGTAGAGAAAGGTCTTAGCTTCAAAATTACGGCTTATTTTTTTGGTGTTACATTTCCATTTTTGGAGTTAGAGAAGGATCTACAAGAACAATAAAAAATTGTGGGACTAGGTGTCTTGCACTATAGAGTTATTACAACTTTAAAGTCAAACCTATTTTCAGATTACTAATTAAAATTCTCAGATTACTAATTAAACATTGTAAAATTATAAGTGAACGCTAAGTGAATGCTAACCAAACAATATACAAACCCTTAATTTGCTGAAACTATTGCTGAAATTTATTAGTTTAGGCAAACTTCTATAGAGTCTTAAACCTGATTCCAGAAATGCAATTGCAAATAATTTTTTTACAGCCAACATGTTTATTTTTCGTTGTTCCTTTGTGAAAAAGAAATGAAAGGTCAAGCATCACACTTCCTTTGAATTTTCAGATAGAATTTTCTTTGAAACTACCAAGTATTATCTTATAGAGATTTTTCAAGAATACAAGTCTATGAACAAGGAGTGTTTCATCCCTCACGGTATTGCATATACCAACAACAGTTACAAAAAATCCAAACTTGGGAAATCCTCAATGTCATGACCACAGAGTAAAAGCGCAAGCTGCATTAATAGCCTTTGAGGTAAGGACTGATTCAAAATTCTTGCCTAATCTCTGCGAAGCTCGGCGTACTTAATCTTCTGACAGAAGGTGCTGGATGTGTGCCTAATCTTCTGACAAAAGGAGTTCTGAAAGGTGCTCAGGGTTCGCCTAATCTTCTGTTAGGAGAAGTTTCTAACCAATAATTATCTAGAGAAGAAAATTTTTGCATTTGTGTTTTACTGGGATATTTTCTCGCAACCCTTTTTTTATCAGGGCCAGTCTTTATAAGCCAGCTGATCTTTCTTAATAAGGAAATTTTGAACAATAAAATTTTTATGATCTTTTTTTTTATTTTGTTCATTATTATTATGTTTTATTGAAGGCCAAACTTTTGTTAAAAAATTAATTCTTACATTGTTCACTTTTTGAGGCTAATA